GGTCTAATGTGTATCTGGTCTTATGTAATTCAAGTAAATTTCTCAGGATCAAATAACAGAAAGAGGAAATATTTGAGAATTTAAACAAGATGAAGATCTCAGTAGTTAGAAGCACCCAAACAGCCAGTGAGGCTGAGTGCGGTGCAGCAGTGAGCATTGGCCTCTGATTTCCAGACTCTGATCTCTGTACTCCAGACCTGCACTGTCCAATCTGATAGACACTAGCCTCAAGAGGCTAGTTAAATTCAAATATGTCATTTAAATTTTCAATGTAAACAAAATTTAAAATTCAGATCCTCAGTAGTACTAGCCATATTTCAAGTGCTCAATAGCCACATGACTACCATATTAGCACAAATATAGAAAGTTCTATTGGACAGTGCTGGTCTCAGAGCTGTGGTGTCACCATGTGCTAACAGTATGGGGGAGCGGAGAGGAGGGTTGAACTTGGTCACTGCTAAAATTCCTTCCAACTCCTTATTTTAAAAGCCCGCAAAGTTATTGTGTGAATGTGAGGAGTTGAAGGAAAATGCCTAAGACAGAGCTCTGGGAAGCAAAACTGCTTGGATGGTGAGCACCTTGAATACAGGAGAGCTCAGAAATAAAAAAAATCCCGAGCTCACAACAGCATATGTATTTGAAAGGAGAGGGGGTGAGAAGAGTGCAGACATAACAAACTTGTAGAACTGACACTTCCCGACCCTAAGACTTTACAGTGATAAAGCTACTGTAATCACGACTGTGATTTTGGTAAAAGAATAGGCAAATAGATCAATGGAACAGAATAGAAAGCCAGAGATAGACTCTCATAAATATGGTCAACTGATCTTTCACAAAGGAGTAAAGGTGATACAATGGCACAAAGATTATCTTTTCAACAGATGGTGCCAGAACAGCTGGACATCCACATGCAAAAAAATGAATCTGGACACAGACCCAGCACCCTTCACAAAAATTAACTCGAAATGGATCACAGACCTAAATGTAAAATGCAAAACTGTAAAACTCCCAGGAGATAGCACAGGAAAGAACGTCGGTGGCTTCGAGTATGGCAATGACTTTTTAGATACAATAGCAAAGACACAGTCTGTCAGATACTTTGCTTGACTAAACCACAGCCTCAGCTCTTTGCCCCTTGGTATGGGCAGGAGGGGCCTGCTGCTCCTCTTCTTGGTCTGTGGCAACCAGAGGGACCAAGGGAAAGGAATAGGATTGTGTGGGTGCATGAAAAAAAAACCTGAGCTGTATAATCTAAAGAAAGTTCAGTCATTCCATTGAATGTAAATTTTTTTTGATTGTAAAATCCCCTTTGCAGTTAGCACTACATGTTGTTGAAGAAAGTTCAGTCATTCCATTGAATGTAAATTTTTTTGGTTGTAAAATCCCCTTTGCAGTTAGCACTATATGTTGTTGTTGTTGTTTTTTTTTAACTTTTAAAGCATTTTGACTGATTTACATACAATGAAACACACCTCTTTTAAGTGTGCATTTCAGTGAGTTTTTACCAATAGAGAACTCCCTTAACCATCACCACAGTCCAGACACTGAACATTTCTGCCACCCATGACCCTTCTCAGCAATGCCCACTCTCCGCCCCTGGCCGGAGAAAGTTATGCTTTCTGTCACTGCAGATTAGTTTTGCTTTTACTAGAGTTTCATAATAATAGAACCATTCAGCATGTGCTTTTCTTTGTCTGGCTATGTTTGCCCAGCACAATGTTGTTGAGATTACCCAGTTGCATATATTAGTAGTTGGTTTCTTTTTATTGCCAGGTAGGATTTCATTGTGCAGGTTTATCATAATCAGTACATTCATCTGTTGGTGAACATTTGGGTTTGGGGCTATTATGTTTAAGATTATTAACCAGGGGTCCTCAAACTTTTTAAACAGGGGGCCAGTTCACTGTCCCTCAGACGGTTGGAGGGCCGGACTATAGTTTAAAAAAAAAACTATGAACAAATTCCTATGCACACTGCACATATCTTATTTTGAAGTAAAAAAACAAAACGGGAACAAATACAATATTTGTATTTGCATGTGGTCCGCAGGCCGTAGTTTGAGGACCCCTGTTATTAACCATACAGGCCCTTTTTGCAGACATATTTTCATTTCTCTTGTAAATATCCAGAAATGGAATTGCTGGGTCATATGGTAAGTGTATGTTTAACTTTGTAAGAAACTGCAAGAACATATTGTTTTCTTCTAAGGAAATTGATTTTTTTGGGGGGGGGGGGGCAGGAGTTGTTGTTTTGCCTCTAGTATTGTCTGTACCTCTCTGTTCCCATTGGATTTTGTAGACTAGATACTGTAGACTGAATGAAAACAGGTCGGTGTGTCAGTGGCTGTTTGGTCTAGAAGTTCTGGGTGAGGGTCATGGTCTATGTGGGTGAGACAGTATTGGGTTATTGCTCATGCTAAGAAGACCAGGCAGGTTAACTAGCAAGGTTTAAACAAATAGCATGTGCTCTTTGGAAGAGAGTGTATTTCAAGGCTGTCGGGAGGCTGTACTTGTACCAATTGAGGAAACTGCTAATCCTTAAGAATGCAATGTACATCCAGCAGAAGTTGTTCCCCATAGAGATTGATGGAGAGCTTCTAACCCAGCTCATTCTTAACTTCCTTGCTCTCTTAGGGAGAGAACCTAGTGGCCAGCTCAGTCCTGGAACTATTGAGGGTTGTCATGCGGTGAGGGTAGAATAGGAAATTCTTGCCACAGGACCGACTTCTGCTTCTAAGTAGTATAGCATATAGAAATGAGATACCAAACCTACCCCATAAGTTTGAAATATGTAAGAAAGGTGCTTGGTAATGGAAATAACAGGCAAATGTAAGTTGCTATTCATCTATACACTAAGAAATAGTACACATTGCTAGTCTTTTCTACCTTTTTTTTTTTTAAGTAAATATGCTTGTGATAGAACTCAAATTTCTGATCACCATTTCGTAATGGTTAATTTAACTGATGATCACATTTTGTCTGCTTAAATGCAGGTGTGTACGAGCTGGTATTCTCTAAATATGTTCAAAGCAATTCTGGTTTCACAGACAAGTAGATTTGGAAAATGCTGTGTTGCAGTCTCTACATACTGGTTGTCTTGTGGAAGCCAACTTTGGTGTCATGAAATTTTCTGTCTTATTAACCCTGTTGGCTAGCACACGAGTTATCTAATGCACAAATTAATAAGTTGCCCACAATTTAGCAGCTTAAGATCACACACATGCGTTATCTCACCGTATCCGTGGGGTAAGAATCCTGGCATGGCTTAGCTGAGTCTTCTGCGCCAGTCCCTTCCAGAGCTGCAATCAGGTGTTGGCCACAGCTAAGGCCTCCTCCGAAGGCTTGACTGGGGAAGTGTTCGCTTCTGAGGTCACACAGCTGTTGGCAGAATTTGGGTCCTTGAAGTTCAGTCTGGGAGCCTCAGCTCCTAGTCGGCTGGTGGCCAGAGGCCACCCTCAGTTTCTTGCCAGATGGGCCTGTCCAACATGGCAGCTTGTTTCATCAAACATGCAAGCCCAGAAGGCAGTCAAGAGAGTCTTCTCGCACGTTGGGAGCCACAATTTTATGTAACCAAATCACGAAGGTGGCATCCATCACCTTTACTCTATTCTTTTGGGTAAAAGAAAGTCATAGGCCCCCACCCACACTCAAGGAGAAGGTATTACACAAAGGTGTGGCTTCCAGGGACCACCTGTTTGCAGAGGTGGGTTGCAGTCAGACCGGCCTCCTCTGAAACCAAACACATTGCAAATAGTTGCCTGGAGATTCCAGTGTTAGGTAAACAACTCAACCACAGATGTAAAAATTAGTGCGTAAATTTGGCTCATACTGTGAGGATGATCCAGAGTTGTTTACGCTCCTAGACTTATTCTTATAGGAAGTGGGTAGAACAGATGGACTGTCAGTGGGATTTTCTCACATATTAAGAACAGAATCTTGCAACAGCCTGACCCAAAGGAGGCCCTCAGTAAAACTGTTTGCACAAATAGACTTTGGTTTCAAAACACAGCTTAGCTCAGCTCTATTGCCCTGCTTTTGTAACAATATTTTATATCCTTCATCTTGAAAAGAAATTCATAAACAGAATTTACCTATTTGCATTATTCAAAACATTGATAGGACTTAACTGTAATATAAAAGTAAAAAGAGTAATTTATAATAAAAAATAATGGTTTTTAATATGTAAATGCTCAAAAATGAAGTGCTTGCTTCTGAATTTAGATTCACTGTTAATGACACAGCTATAAATACAGCCTGAAACTTGATACCATGTGTGCAGTTAAGGACTCAGATCTTACCATTTGCCTTGGGCAATGTGATTTTTCCAGAAAGATGAACAATTCTTGGAACCATTCTGAACAAAACAAAAGAATAATTATCCCACATTTTATACAATAGTTGCACTCCTAGAAAATTCAGAATAGATTCAAATTAGGCAAAAACTGCCTTGTTTGGGGGTTAGTTTAGGCTCAGGTAATTATAAGGTTTCATCTGCAGGTATAGGATATTGGAAGGCATGAGGGTGAGGGCCTTGGGACCATTTAGTGTACAGGACTTTGCTGTACTTAGCAGAGTGAATGGCTGGCACCCGGCACTTTCCCACACACTCTCCCAATTCCAGGAATGCCCTCCAATTATTGCCACAATAAAAACACTCCCGTGGATTTCACTGTGGAGCAGCACCACTCCCCATTGAAAACCTCTGCAACAGGGCTTACCCTCTTGGGGAAAGGAAAGGGATGCAGTTCCTCTGGTTTGGTTGAGCATAAATATCAAATAGTACCCCAGAGGAGAGGAAATAAAAATTGGGGCACTCAAGTTTCTATGGTGGCCCAGCAGCCGAGGCATAGGTGGGTGTTTGGACAAGCAGAAGACCATAGTAATTGCTGGAGGTGGAGAGAGGAGGAATACTGTATGTGAGGCTGTCAGGAATGGGCAATCTTAAAGCACATACTTCGCTGAATTTTAAGAATACTGATGAAATGCTTCCTTTTCCAACAGAAACCTGTTTCCCTCAAATCTTGTGGTTGCAACTTTTAAAACGGTAAGGTTTGATGCTTTGTTAAAACTATGAACCTTTGATGGGGGTGGAGGTTGTATAAAATATTGCTATAGAATTAGGTAAGGTGTTAACAAAACTTGGTAATATTGGTCTAAGTTTTATAGATGGGCCCCTGGAATAAAACAAACAAAGCAAAACTCAACGTTTTTCTAAAATATCCCACTGGTTCCAACATCTTTTCATATCACCTGAGAAATACCCTCAGATCACATTTTGGGGCTCTCTTAAATATTTTAGAATATTTTTCAAGTATAATGTTATCTTTTTTCGGGTTATAAAGGAAGTATATGCTCATTGCAAAAAGAGTAAAAGTAAAGTACAAAAAAGTGGAAGAAAATAAAATAATCATCCATATTCACCACCTAGAGCTACCCATGAACATTTTGATATACATCCTTCAGATTGTTTTTCTCCTATGCATGCCCACATGTTTAAAAAATAATCATACTAAATATGTTGTATGGCCGGTAGCTCAGTTGGTTTTTATAATTTTATTTTTAATTTATTGGTTTTAGAGGGAGGGAGAGAGAGAGAAACTTCAGTTTGTTGTTCCACTTATTTATGCATTCATTGGTTGATTCTTGTATGTGCCCTGACCTGGAATCAAACCCACAACCTTGGTGTAGTATCAGGATGATGCTCTAACCAACTGAGCTACCGGCCATACAACATATTTAGTATGATTATTTTTTAAACATGTGGGCATGCATAGAGAAAAACAGATCTGAAGGATGTATATCAAAATGTTCATGGGTAGCTCTAGGTGGTGAATATGGATGATTATTTTATTTTCTTCCACTTTTTTGTAAACTCTAAACTTTTTTGTCCACTCTAAACTCTTTCTCAAAGCCGTATATTGTGAAGATTTTCTCACATCAGTAAATAACCCCCCTGCACATGTTACTGGTTGTATTCCACTGTATGACTATACCATGATTTTACTCCATCGGTCTCTTATTGATGGACATTCAGCTTGTTTTCAGTTTTTCCCTAATTTTAGCAATACTCTAAGTAACATCCCCGTGGCCATGCTTTACACAGAGAAGAAATATAAAGGTCTAGATTAGATGGACTAACCTGATTGCCCTTAATAAGCAAAGACTTTTCTCTTTCTAATTATAGCCTCTCTCTTTAAAAAACACAAAACAAATCTGCATATAAGCACAGCTGTGGCTTCTGTATACAACATGAGGTAGGAGAAAAAGAAAAGGCATATGGGGTTTCAGTGCCTGTCACATGTGGGGTGAGTGTTGTTTTTCCTGCCATCCTGATCACAGGACCACTGAATACCTCAGCGTGTGTGAAAGCTCGATCAGTCAAAGCTGAGAGAGACCAGAGCTCCTCAAAGGCGGGCACAGAGCAGGCCTCCGGGTCCGGGCCTCCTAACGCGCTGCTCTTGACAGTGCAGAAGCCAGCTGTCCTCAGAACAGGCCAGGAAGGGTGTTCCATAACAGATTCCACTTGATCGTGCCTGCTGCCACTGGGAGACACCTGTGCAGAAATATGTGCAGTCTGCTGTAGGCCAAAGCTGGAGACATGGCCTACATGGCCAACATGGCCAAAAGCTAGTGTTTCACTTTAGAGAAGTGGGTCTCCCAGAAGACTCAGCCAGGAAACACCAGCTCACCTGACATCCTTTGCTTTGCAAAGTGGCGGCTCAGGCCCATTAGAAATAGATTCTGAAAAGCACTCATGTTCAAACAAATTCTGGAACCAAGTGGAGCATAAATAAATGAATACAAAATACTGTAAGTATAAAAAAATAGAATAAAAAATAAATAAATAAATGAATACATATAAATGGACACATTGAAAAGTGAACTTGGGCATTATGGAATCAATACCAAGGTTCTCTAAATGCTGTGAACTCTCGGGTGTTTGAAATATCAAGCTCTCAGCATGCAATTGGGCAGAACTACCAACCATTGTCCAAGGGCATAAGGACATTCTCCCTTGTTCCCTATCTAACCCAGAGGCCTCTTGAAGTACATGCTGCCTTGGTCTTAAGGTCAGGCCAACCAATGGAGCAATGCCCCCAACACTCAAGGTGAATAATGACAGACTAGCAAGAGGCTCAGCTATTCAGTCCCATCTTCCCCTGTGCACTGATAGTGATTTTTCTTTCTCTCACAGTATGCAACTGATTATAAAATGGTCCCCCACGACATGAGCAATGGAAACATAACCCTTGAAAAGGTAAAGCTCTTTGTAATATCACTTGTGATGAATACTTATAAAGTAAAGAATGCTTCTTAATTGCAGGAGCCCACACAATGCATCTTTTCCCAAGCAGGGCTAAAAACTTTGGGGTTTGGGTGGGCTGTTCAAAGCACATGGTCTTGGTTTGTTTCTTTGGTTATTTACCAACATGGCCAAAGTCTAATGTCTGTAGCTTTGCAATCTTTAGTGGATCTACTTCATCGAATTGGAACTAACGTCCCCTCTCCTAAAATATCTATATATATAAAAGCCTAATATGCTAAGTGTCTGACCAATTGGTAGACCACCAGGGGGCAGACGCTCCAACAAGTAGGTTAGCTTGCTGCTGGGGTCTGGTCGATCGGGACTGGGCAAGACGAGCTGGACACACCCTGGAGCCCTCCTGCGGTCCCTCCCCAGCCAGCCAATCTCCCACAGTCCCTCCCCGGCCAGCCGGCCCCCATCGGCCCCAATGATCGCCGGCCAGGACATGGGACCCTACCACCACCAGGGGGCAGACGCTCCAACAAGTAGGTTAGCTTGCTGCTGGGGTCTGGTCGATCGGGACTGGGCAAGACGAGCTGGACACACCCTGGAGCCCTCCTGCGGTCCCTCCCCAGCCAGCCAATCTCCCACAGTCCCTCCCCGGCCAGCCGGCCCCCATCGGCCCCAATGATCGCTGGCCAGGACATGGGACCCTACCGGTGAACGAATTCATGCACCAGGCCTCTAGTATTTTATAACACCCTTCTGCTATCCTGAAATATCATTAATAGGTGATTTACCCTACCCCTACACATAGAACTTGTCCTAGGGGCTTAACTTATTCTAGCCATTATTCATTCATGCATATATTTTTGAGTACCTATTGTTTCGCAGACACTGAGCAGGAAGGGACAAGGGACCTCAAAGATTATTCAGTCCAGCCCCAGAACTGTCTGGGAAGAAAGGGGTACTTTGTCTTTTTCCACACATATACCTCCTCAGGGCTGAGGGGCTCCGAGTACTACCCGCCTTTCTGTGATTGAAGAAAAAGTTCCACTTAAGAAAGAAAGTTGAAAGCTACGAATTAAATCCAATTCACGTCATCTTGCAGATGAAGAACCTGAGGCTCAGAGAAGTTATTTAATACCAGAGCTGGGACTAGAAGTCAGACTAGAACTCTGGTAAAAATGCTCTTTGTGCTTTTTACCATGCTGACCGGCATGTTTCCTGTTCAGAATTTCATAATGTGTTTGATGGAGTAAAATGCCTGCCTAACATATACTTGCAGCCGTGAGATTCAGCATTACTGGAAAATAAAGAGTGCATTTTACCTATACATTTAAAGTCAGTGATTTAGGAACAAATATCCTGAAGAGATCCATGTCAATCCTGAAAAATCTCGGGACTTTCGTCAGCTCAGAGGCCATCCTAACAGCCTAGCAGCAAAAAGAATTATTGACATTTAGGAGGTGAAGGTATAGGCATCAATTCTTGATCTGAAGGAACTTTTCAGCAACAAGCTCTTCTTTTAAAAGCAACCCTTTGAAGTGATTGTTTGTCCAACCTCTACCTGAATATATCCAGTAACAGGGAACTCACTGCTTTCTGCTTCAATCCATGCCGTCTTTGAACAGCTTTTAGAGTTAGCAACTAGGTGAAATTTTCGTTGACTTTCTGTATCCTTACACTCCATCTCCCCCTTGACTTTCCTACCCCTTGATTTGCAAAATCACTTAAGGTTAAAGAAAATACAAACCTTTTCTCATTCTGGGTATATATAGTGTTTCAGCCTGGTGGAGACACAAAGCAAATGCATCTTTACAATCATATGTTGTAAACTTGGACCCTGTGTCCACTCTGATCCTGCAGATCCCATTTGGCACCGAGATCGAAGGGATGAACATTCTGGGATTGGTCCTTTTTGCCCTCGTGTTAGGAGTGGCCCTAAAGAAACTAGGCTCGGAAGGAGAAGAGCTCATCCGTTTCTTCAATGCCTTCAACGAGGCGACGATGGTGCTGGTGTCGTGGATTATGTGGTGAGTCTTGCTGCCCTCCCCACTGCTGCCAACCCTCCCTCTTATCTCTCCTCCATCCAGAAAAGAACGTGACTCTGCTGTTCTAGGTCACCTCTGGGTCACCACCTGGCCCAGGGCTCTGTATGTGGTTGATGCACCCCCAGGTGGGTCCTGGTGTGATAGAGGTGGAGGCAGTTTCCCCTCCTGTCCAGGACCTCAGAGAATCAGGCATGTACCATAGTTAACAGTTACTTCTTCAGCACCCACAGTGACCCCTTATGGTTCTACTAGAGGCCCGGGGCATGGATTCATGCACCAGTGTGGTCCCTCAGCATGGCCTGCAGGGATCGGGCCGAAATCAGCTCTCCAACATCCCCCGAGGGGTCCCTGATTATGAGAGGGCGGTTCTCAGGTGATGCACCCCGGAATCAGGCTCCCTCCTCTCTGGTTCCTCTAGGGTGCGTCACCCTAGAACCGCAGCTGCCAAGTCACCGCAGCTCAGCAGCTCCTGCATTGAGCATCTGCCCCCTGGTGGTCAGTGTGCATCATAGCTACCAGTCAAACGATCGGACAGTCGCTTAGGCTTTTATATATATATATAGATCATCAGTGATCTACTTATGGGTTCACACCATCATCCCATATTATATGTGATGCCCATATCATCTTGTGGAGCAATGAATTCCATAAGTTTGCTATCTGCTCTGTGAAATAAGGCTTATTTATCTTAAACTGATAGACCTAAAGCTTCAGAGGGGCCCTTTACTATCGTATTTCACTACATGGAGGACAGATTCATGCATATGTAAACTTGGAATAGTCTTTTTTTTTTTTAACCTAAATGTTCTGTAGGTAGTATCGATGAAAGTGTAATTGTTTAATACAAAATTATTAGATTGATTTTTGGCTAAAAGGTAAAATTTTGACCTGATCCCTCAGAAATTATACTAATTCCAGTGGCCATCACTCGTCAGCTTCATCCTGCTGTTTCACTCAAGCCAGATTTCTGTGGATTTTAGCGTCTATCCATTCATTGTCAGGAAACTAGTTTATCCTTTCATGCACAAAGCATTTTCCTAACTGTCAATCCTTAAATATCCCAGAACTTCTCTCTCTCAATGGCATTGAGGTGGCACCTGAACTGACCAAATTCCAGGAGAGAAGCCTGGAATTTGGTAGGAAAGTTTGGAATTGGGTGGGAGGCCAAGTCCAAAGCCCCCACTGGTGGTGTTTCTTTTGCTCAACCAAATTTTCTTGCTCAACCAACATTCCAGAGGCTGACTCTTATCATTGCAAACATGACACTTTGTTCGTATGACTGTTGTTCTGGGGAGAGAAATAGTTCCAGGAAGGAAAAAGTGTTGTCATCACAGGTCAGTTCCTTTCCTGGGTTTTTTTGTTTGTTTGTTTTCTGTTGTTTATTTTGTCTAAAATCTTCCCAAAATTTGGATTAAAAGAAAAGACATCATCACTGATAGTGACTAGTAACCACTACACAGAGGTAGATCTCCTGCCAGGTCCTGCCCCCAGCCTTCACTTTTTTTCCCTAATGAAGTATTACTTATGGAAAAGTACTTAAAACATGTGCACAACTTAATGAATTATCACTTAATGAATTATCACTATCACAAAGCAAACACTCATCCAGATCAAGAAACAGAACTTGCCAGCACTTTCAGAGGTCGCTCTTGTCCCCTCCAACCGCTGCCCCTCTCTCCACCTGAAGAAGGGAACTGAACTGACTTCTAACTCTGTAGACCTGAAAGGTCACAGGTTTGATTCCAGTCAGGGCACATGCCCAGGTTGCAGGCTCGATCTCCAGTAGGGGGCATGTAGGAGGCAGCCAATTGATGTTTGGTTCTTACATCGATGTTTCTCTCCCTCTCCCTCTCTGTCTAAAAATCAATTTTTGGAAATCTTTTAAAAATAAATAAAATTTATCAAAAAAAGCCAATGGTTATAAAATTCTTCCTCAATTTAGATAAATTCAAAACAACTGACTTTAGTTCTTTGCAGCTCCCCTGGTTTGCTCCTTCCCTTCCTTCCTCTCGTCCTGCCATTAAAAAATATCTTCACGCTCCGGGAGTGTTCCCAGAGGGTCATTGTTAATGACTTTCTCCCACGGAATCATGTTTTCCAAATCACAAAGAATTTTAAGCCTCACAAAAATCCCAGCTTCGCCTCAGTTCTATGAAATAGGTACTAGTCTTTTGTGTTTCTAAGTTTTCAGAACAAGCCTGAGCAAAGCCGAAAGTCAAACTGCATTCCCAGAGGCTTTGATCTCGAGCAGTTCCTTGCCTTTCCACTTGGGAGTCCCTGTGGTTGGTGACATCCAACTGTTAAGAACATCATATCCAAGGGGAAAGAAGCCTGGGTTCTGATCCTGACTCCGTTACCCATGGAGATGTATCATGTCAATTTTACTCAGTTCCACAGCCTGTAAAATGGGCCCATCCCTTTCATTCTCAGAATCCTCCTAGGGGGAGATGAAGGCCGCCTAGTTGAAAGTCCCTGTGTTGAGTGGGGAAGGGCCTGCGTCTCCCAGGCCCTACATCACATCACTCTTACTGACAAGTACCTTGTGCTCATGTCCTAGGTATGTACCAGTGGGCATCATGTTCCTGGTTGGAAGCAAGATTGTGGAAATGAAGGACATTGTTGTGCTGGTGACCAGCCTTGGGAAATATATCTTTACATCTATGTTGGGCCATTTTATTCATGGAGGAATTGTTCTGCCGCTTATTTACTTTGTTTTCACACGAAAAAACCCATTCAAGTTCCTCCTGGGCCTCCTCACACCATTTGCGACAGCATTTGCCACCTGCTCCAGGTGAGTGGGTTTCGGGAGCCCTTGATGGCTCTGAGCTGTGTTGATATGAAACCAGGTGAGCCCAATGGTAGATGCACAGCTGGCATCTTAAAACCAATTTAGAGTTTTCAAAGAATGAAATACGTTAAGATACTAGTTAAGATACAGAATCATGTTTTCCAAATCACATGTTGTGTTATCAGCCCCACAGCTCTTAGGGAAATGGATTTCTGGGTTTGCAAAATGAGGAATTGCCTTGTTTCTTCTTCTTCTGGCTCCTTGACAGTCAACCTGATCGTTATTGAGACCATAGGAGCTGTGGGTCCTCACCCTAGTTAGTAAGTCCTTTGCCTGAGTAAAAGAAAGCAGCCACTTAACTCAAAATGCATTGCAGGGAAGTTGCTAGAATGTTACCTGTCCAGCTCTCCCTCTGGATGCATGACTAGAAAATAAGACCAAGGCATCATGGTGAGGGGTGCCTGCTCAGCTCTCTAGGATTATCTAATCTAGCATAAAAGATGTACCTGTCGTTATCAGAAATCTTTCAAAAAAAAGTGGGGGGCTTTCTAAATACATTAAAGAAAACTTTCCAAGGGTGGCAGCACGTTGTTTCACTCTCCTGCTTAGCTTTTGCCTCTCTACCGCATGCTTCCTCCCATCCTGAAGGGCTAGTCATATGACCAGGTAGTGTTGGTACAAAGGATTAGGGAGGCGAGGTTCTCTGGCTTAGACAGAAACAAACCTGCTCCTCAGCTGCGCCAGCCACCCTCCTCGGAGGCCGCTGGAGAGAACAGGTTTCATTTATCCAGTTATCTGTGAACAGTTACTCTTTCCAAATGTTCAGAGCCATTTCTGCTTCTTGGCCTAAAAGAAAAAAAGAAATCATCATGGTTTTTTGCCTTGTACTTTTTTTTGGGATTTCTGCTTCTTGGCCTAAAAGAAAAAAAGAAATCATGGTTTTTTGCCTTGTACTTTTTTTTGGGGAGGGGGGTCAAGAGAGGAGGTGCACATATGGAGTCAACAGTTCTTTGTTCTCTTGAGAACCGTTTGTACCACAAGGTCAAGTGTGGTTCTTGAGAAATTTGGAACAGGTGCATCCAGGTAAGTAACACAGCAGGTCAATGTGAGTCGGGTTCTGAATGCTTCGGAAGTTGACAAAAACCCACGTTGTGACAGAAACTTTGAAGCCGTTGTGATTTTCCTTGTATTCCGGGGGAGAAAGCCAGAAACGAGGGTGGTGCTCTTGGTTCAGGTCCAGGGCCTGAGCCGAGCGGTCTGTTGCCCTTGGAAGCACTGTTCTCAGGGTCGGTTGTTTCTCCATTTCCAGCTCAGCAACCCTTCCCTCCATGATGAAGTGTATCGAAGAAAACAACGGTGTAGACAAGCGGATCAGCAGGTTCATTCTCCCCATCGGGGCCACCGTGAACATGGACGGCGCGGCCATCTTCCAGTGCGTGGCCACCGTGTTCATCGCCCAGCTCAACAACATCGAGCTGAAGGCAGGGCAGATCTTCACGATTCTGTGAGTTCATTCCTCCCTCCTAACTCTAGGCCTGGGTCAGAACCTGAGGGATTTCTTGTGTTTTCCTTTGAAAAATCCTGCTAAGTACCAATCTGGCCAGGACACGGCGTCTCATTTATGAAATGAGCACAGTGTGAATCCATTACTTGGAGAGAGTGCATTGTCTCTCGCGGGCTCATCGGGCGGAATCTAGGGTCACGTGGTTTTCCGTTGCCACGCCATGGCTGCCACGTTCTGCATTTCTCTGTGCCCCCTCCATGCTCTGTGTTCATGGTGACCCTGCTGTGCCATCCCTAGAGTGACAGCCACGGCGTCCAGTGTTGGAGCGGCAGGCGTGCCGGCCGGAGGGGTCCTCACCATCGCCATTATCCTGGAGGCCATTGGGCTGCCCACTCGTGATCTCTCTCTGATCCTGGCTGTGGACTGGATTGTGTAAGTAGCAAGTCCTAAGGGCATTGAACAAAGGAAAGTCTGTATTGAGCTCCCTAGGGGCTTGGCACTCCCCTGGACCTGAGGCGTGTGGAGAAACTTCAAACGTGCTCCCTGCCTTGTGAAAGAGCCCACAGTTGAGCTGGCAAGACAAAACTTAGAGCTAGGAAAAGTTAACAACATGAGTCAGAGGCTCATGAATGACCATGAAATATTATTACTGAGAACTTGCTTAGAGAATCCGGGAAAGCATGGGTCGCAGGCCCCGAGGGAGGGGGGGAGAGGGGGGAGGGCACTAAAATCTGTGGAAGGTGTTGGTTCCGTAGGAGTCATAGCCATGGGTGCAGTGAGCCTTTGGGAATGATAGTCCTTGTCCAGAAATGCCCAGAGAGTGATTTCTGTGAGGAAAGGGAAGATGAACCCGGTTAATGGGAATGCCTTGGGCTCAGGGGAGGAGGTGTAGGAAGGAGGTGTGATTCGGACGGCCATCAGCAGAGCTCCTGTAGACACAGAACAGTTTCTGAATGTTGATTTCTTGAGTTGCGTGATACCTTTTTCAGGTAGGGGCGATACCTATTTTATAGGGAAGGTTAGCTGAAGTACTAGTGTTGGACAGCAGAGCATGTGGATAAGAAAATGAGCCTTAGAGTCCAGGGACCTGGGTTCAAATCCCAGCTTTGCCATTACTAGCTGTGTGACAGGACTGTTTGCTCACCTGTGAAATGAGAATAATAATAGAACCTGCACCAGAATTGTGGTGGAGATTGAGTTCGCAGATGCGCAGCGCATGGGAGAGTTCCAGGCCCGTGGAACTTCCTCTGAGCTCCAGGGAGGGAGGACGGTTATCGGGCTAATCCAGGGGAAGACAGGCTTCTGGAAAGGCCAGTGCTATTCTCTGTGAGGGGGTGTTGCCACGGCCACGGAGTGCATCTGGAGACTGACATTCAGCAGAGATGCAGTGTTGAAATGAGTAGGAGAACAACTGGACACAAAACCATATCTACACTATCCTACATCTCGGCTCTATGTAACTTAGATGATGGCGTCTGTTACACCCAAAATACATGCATAGAAAGAGACTGGAAGGAAACGATCAAGATGGCAGTGCTGGCTCACTCAGAGTTGTCAAGTGTGGGTGACTGTTGTTTTCTACTTTATACTTATCTTCCCCCCGCCCCCCCCCCCAAGTTTTCTACAATGAGTATCTATTACTTTTATCAGAAAAAAAAATTACAAGGAAGTCCACCTAGAGTAAAGTGAAGCCTTATGCCCTTAGGAGCATGCACTCTGGGAAAGAGCAGGGGCCCCGGAGGGTCACAGCTTCCCCGTGGCCTTGGCCTGTGACGGGGCTGCCCCCAGGTGGCTGCTGCCGGTGGCATTGGCTGGACCGCCTACCTTTCCTTTCCCACCAGGGACCGGACCACCACCGTGGTGAATGTGGAGGGGGACGCCCTGGGCGCCGGCATTCTCCACCACCTGAATCAGAAGGCGATGAAGAAAGGGGCGCAGGAACTGAGCGAGGTGAAAGTGGAAGCCATCCCCAACTGCAAGTCAGAGGAGGAGACGTCACCGCTGGTGACACACCAGAACCCCGCGGGCGGCCCTGCTGCCAGCGCCGTGGAACTGGAATCCAAGGAGTCGGTTCTGTGATGGGGCTGGGCTTCCAGCTTGCCTGCCATCGGTCCTGCCCACCCTGTCAGTCCAGCCACCGGACACCGGGCACCGCCCACCGCCCTCACCGACTTTAGCCTCCGGGCAATGCGTTGGCCCAATCACCGGTTTGAGGATCACTTCTCAGCACAGGCAGTGGGCTTCCCAGCCAGAACTGCTTCCTGGGGACTAGGACACTGACATTCAGCTTGATCCCCGTCTAGATGCAACCATGTGCGCGCACCAGGGTCCGTCTGAAACACGCCATCGAGCTGCCAGGCTGGGGGGAACAACAGGCTCGGTCAAAGCTTGGGAACATGCAGATGTGCCCTTCACTGCACCCAGTCACTGTGGTGGGTGCTTTCCAGGCAAATTTAGGGGGTTTGCAGTCTTCTGTCACATTGCCTTGCGAGCCTTAGTGATTGGAAAATTCCCAAATTCTTCGCCTTGAATGGAATTCGCTGAGCTGGGACTCCGGGTGTTAGAGTTTGTGCTTACAATTAGGTACAGCTGGCTTCTGGTTCAAGGGTTGTTGGTGGACTGGCGGTGCTGCACATTGTCAAGTTAGAAATACTCCAGATGGTGGTAGGGCTGCTGGCTTCTCTGGTCAGAGGCATTGAGTAAACTGTAAGTGCTGAGATCAAAGAAAGGAGCAGGAATGCAGCCTGCAGGGGAAAGGGAAGCATCTTAACCACGACAGGATGCACACACACACACACACAGGTTCCCATTCTCCTCCCAGCCCTGGGGAAGTTTGCAGCTTCGTGACCTAGGCCTCTCACAACACTATAGCTTCCTCGCCATCCACTCTGCTGCAGGACCCTGGTTGGTTTCTCAATCTACTATTTTTTGTTGTGAATCCTCCTGAGGGTCTATCCCCCTCCCCCCCCCACCCCACTAATTTTTTAGAGAAAGTGGAAGGGAGGGGGAGAGACAGAGACACATCAATTGGTTGCCTCCCACACGCACCCCAACCAGGGCCAGGGATCAAGCCTGCAACTGAGGTGCCCTTGACCGGAATCAAACCCGGGCCCTTTCGGTCTACGGGCTGACATTCTTACCACTGAGCCAAAACGGCCAGAGATATTTTTATTTTTATTTTTTTTACCTAAGTGATACCTCTCTCCAAAGCCCTTGGTCTCCTGGTGAAGACAACTTTTCTGAGTGGGGCTTTGCTCTCTGTGCATTAGCCACTTCCTCACGCCGCTCGTTCTCTGTGTACTTCCTCCACAGCATCAGAGGCAGCCTCTCCTAGGTCCTCCAAGATTTCATGAACTAGCCATCTCCCCTGTCATTGCATTTCCAGGTACCGGCTTCCCTGTGACTCCCAGGCCCAGGCCCCGTTTCTGCCACCCCATCAGCAGGCCATCAAAGCTCCCAAATGTTCACCCTCAGCCATTCCCTTGTTTTCCCTGTTGCTGTGGTTTCGCTGTCACCCAGGCCCTGCAGAAGGGAAAAATACCTTTGTGATGTGTGTTCCATTGCGATCAGTATGGGTGGATGGGACAGAGACGGTCAAACTCCTCTGTTATAAAATCAGAGGCCTGAGCCTAAGCAAAAGGGGTGGGGAGGAGCCATGAGGCACAGAGCTGACCCAGCTCCCCGAAATCTTTAAACCAGCGAAGCCACGCCCCTTTCGTGTGAAGCCTGGAGTGACCAGGAACTGAGCTGAGGTGTCTCAAAACCTTTACCCCCTGGCTAGAGCTTGCTGATACCCTTCTGTTTTCAGAGGGGGAGACAATCACATTGATTACAAACTGCAAATGGACATTCACTGCTTCTAAGGCTTTAGCATATTTCGTCTTTCCCTCTTCCACAGATTTATGGCTGTATGTGCACACACATATGTATGTGTGTGTGTGTATATATATATTGTTTGAGCTCCAATCCAAGCACGTTTGAGTTTGGATAGAGGTGACCTAACTGCAAGTTGAATGGCTTTGGCATCCTGATTTTCCTGTTTCTAATGGTGAATTTCACAAAACAAGGACATTAGAGCTGCGCAGTGAGACCCAGTAACTGCACATTGTCTATGCTGTACCTGGAAATGCAGTAGAGAGTGCGCGGCCTGAAGCAGGGTTCTTCCCGATGGTGATCACCCCCTCCCCTGGGAGGGAGTAGGTGCTGTTTTTCTGTCTGTTTCTCCGTGCACAAGAGCAATCAGACCAGGAGTGACCTGGCTGGGAAAAGTCCCACTTTCTCATTGTCTGAAGATGTCTCCCCCACGATTCTCTTGTAACTCGTCGTAAATACTGTTCCGGTACCGTTCATCTCTGTTTTGTATGTGTGACATTTGCCTTAAACATAGCAGTCTTCAACAATGAATACAGTGTTTCTACGAGGATCTGCGTTCCTTTCTTCCTTTCTTGTGTTTTGAACTGGCATATACCGATGGAGCTCTTACTAGGCAAGGACCTGTGGGTGACTGGGGTGACTTATTTTCTAGCTCTTGGCCAGCAGGACCCCTGAGGCAGGTAGGCCCGCTCAGGTGGGCAAAGCCAGCTGCTTCTGGGCATCTCCCATTCAACACTAGCAGGGCTCTTGCGAAAAGCGAGCAGTTTTGCCACCTACCTCCATAAAGTTAAGTTTTGTTAGGACAACTAGGTCAACGGGCCTGAATTACTCAGAAAGTCCCTGCATCAGGCAGTGGCCCGAGCCTCTACCATCATCACCACCACACCCAGCCCATTCTTTTATGTATAATCCCGTTTTAAGTGACACCACATTCCAGCACAATTAGGGAGTTAGAAACCTCTCATAATGAGATTATCCTACAAGCTCATGCTGGAGGCTAGTTTCCACTCCCTGGGGCTCCTGACGAAACAAGTCCTCATTCTGGTCTGGACATTTCCAGCTCTTCATGCTGTACAGACAATATGATTTTAATTTCTGGGCAAGGCCCAAGGGGACAAGGAGGGAGTTTGCCCAGATCAAGGGCCTGATGGGGCTTGTTGCTAATGAAATTTAGGTTCGCAGCTGCCCTGATTCTCTGTTATGGAGAGTGTTTGGAGGCTGAGATGAGTACTCGCTGGTTCAGCTTTCACACGGCCATATCAAGAGGAGCAGTTCTGTAAGCTGCCTCTTCCAGGTGCGCAGTGACCTGCGGGGTCACCTGAGCCTGTTCAGAGAAACTTCCGAAGGCATCTGTGAATGGCATAGTGGCCAGTGGTTCTCAACCTTCCTAATGCCGCGACCCTTTAATACAGTTCCTCATGTTGTGGTGACCCCCAATTTCATTGTTACAAATTGAACATAATTAAAGCACAGTAATTAATCACAAAAACAATATGTAATTATATATGTGTTTTCCGATGGTCTTAGGCGACCCCTGTGAAAGGGTCGCGACCCACAGGTTGAGAACCGCTGGATAAACCATGTAGCAAGGAGGAGCGTGCCCTGCCTGGGGTCCAGTCCCAGCTTTGTTGCTTGCTTGCTTGTGACCCTGGGCACCATAACCTCTCTGTGCCTTAGTCTCCTCATCTTTAAAATGGGAATAATAATTGTACCAATGGCATAGGCTATTGTGAAGAGGAAAAGAGTTAATATATGTAAAGTGTTCCACAAGGCTCCTGGTACGTGGAACATACTCTGTCAGCCTTGACTCTCAAATCAGACACCGAGTGGCAGGAAAGTTTCCCAACCAGCCTGCGTCCCTTTGGGTCCGGGCCCAAGCGGCGTGCTCATGAAGAGGCAGAGAGAAGATATATTTCAACTCCTGGGCTCCCCTGCTGACCCATGCCTGTGTAGTATGGGAGTGGGCCCATTTTGAACATGTGTTCTAAAAATATTTGGATGACTGCTTAGAAGGAACTGGGCCTTATAAACAATTGTCAGGATGCACTGGAATGCCCTTATTCACAAAAGAAGCCCTCCGCTCGAGCCTTCCTCTCTTCAGCTATATCCTCCCAAGTTGCAATCCAGGAAGCAGCAGCTCCCAGCAATACCCTGCCTTCTGGAGAGGAATGTGCTCTCCTGGCCCAAGTTTGACCCCTATTTATCAC